GGAAGGCGTGTGACTTCTCATCGTAATAGGCTTCATCCTAATACATTAGAAGCACAAGTAAGTGCACAAGATTGGTCATGGGATGAGAAATTAGGTATATCTTTTCTAACTTTTTCATTTCATTTTCTTTTACACATGAAATGATTCCTAATGATGTTTATTTTTGTTGTTGTTAGGTACACATTCAAACAGATATACATATCTAACAATGTCTGAAGATATAAAAGATGAGGGTGATGTGGTATGTGTGTTATTCATCTTTTCTTTTCCTTCATATTATTTAATAGTTTTTGACGCTTAATATTTTTCTTTAATGTTGTAGGGTCCAAGTTTCGTAGGGTTTGATGCATGAATCATGAAGATCTAACGATGGGATGATTGTGGATTCTAAAAGTGGGTTGTTTTTTGTGTGAAGAAGAATGAAGAACGAAAATGTGTCTTGCACTATGATTAAGTTAATTATATAGTTTTATTTTTGTTGCTTAAGAATTCTCTACTTTAAGTTTCTCATGAACTATGAAATCATGTGGTTGGTTAAGTGTTTATGAAATTTGAGGTTTATTTCTTTCTCTTAAAATTAAAAACTCTTTTTGCTTTTCACTTTAAACGATGTAACTTTTTTCCTAAATGGGTAGCCAATGAGTTCGATGTTGTTACGAGAATTATATAAAATAAATCTTTCAGACTGTTAGTAAATGGAGACTAGTGCAAGTATACACTTATCAATCCACTATTGTCTTTTACAAGTAATGAAGTGGTAAAAATACCGGATATCGTCCACGTAGAAAAGGAATAAAAGTTCGTTTTAAAAGTCTAAATAGAGATATGATTTCAGATGGTGAATTCGAAGAAATATTTGTGGTGAGTTGGTTAAACACTACTGTTGTAAACAAGTAATAAAAGAGAGCTTGGGGTGTAAGGATTTGTTAAGATATTAAACTGATTTTTAAGTAGACAGCATGCTACATCATGGTTCTATAGCATGCTTTATAAATAACTTATATTTACAACTAATAGTTTCTTTAAGATACTCTCTCGAGTTGTAGAATAGCACACATTCATAGATTAAGCCTTCATAATGCAAGGCTGGAGTCTCGACATTGGCTCAAACTATTTATTTTATAAGCTAAATGGAGGGAAAACGAGTCTCATCGATTTTAAGTTGCTCTCTCGAGCCTACTTCTATATCATTCAAGTTGACGTGTGCTTGTTAGTTTATCTCTAAATCCAACACACTTTAACACTTTTAAACAAGTGATCAACTTGTCCATGGTTGATGTTTTTGCAATAAAAACTTGAATGACGTAGTTGTAAAGATTTATAATTTATATTTCTACAAACGGAATCGGTTTTTCTCTTAACATCACCCAATACTCAAGCTATATTTTTAGCCTAACATATTTGAAAAATTAATTGCGTAAATAATAAAGCATGAGAAAGGAAAAGAAAGTAGAAGAAATAAATGCTAAGCAAAATTATAAAAGAGATTAAAAATACTTGAAATAGAAAATTTAATTGCATAAATAATAAAACATAATAAGTAGAGCATAAGAGAAGAAAAAATAATAGGAGAAATAAATGTAAAGAGGAATTATAAAAAAGACTTAAATGTAAAGAGAAAATAAAATACTTCCAAACACTACTTTATACCGAAGAGAACTCCAACATACATCCAAAGTTACATGCAAATTTACTTCTAAAAGTTTCTTACTAAATTGTTTCCCTAAAATTACTTGTTTCTACAATGTCAAGTCTCCCCTTTTATATAGTGGGAGAAGGGAGGACAATGACCAAAAGATAAAGCTTTTACCCAACTTTTTGCATTGTCCAATAGGTAAAGCAATGCTACCCAAAAATTAGTCAAAATCATATCTTAAATGTGTACCATAAGATCTTTAAAGCTGCAGGAGATGGGTTGCCAAAAAAGATGACTGGATATCAAAAGATTCCCCATAAGATTCTCAAAAGTGCCCCTGGAATCATCCTGCAGCACACGTTGTAGCATGCTTCAGCCAAACACTTATTAACATGGCTCTTTTTCAAAAAATCAGCACATATCCAAGAAGTAAACATGTTTATCATATTAATTTAGCTCCAATATAAAAAAGATAGAAAATTAAAACAAAAAGACTCAATTTGCGGAATTTCTGGGAAAATAAAATGGGTAAATAAAGTAAGAAAAAATGTAAAAGTATCAAATAAGTTGATACTTATCAGTTGTACCCATAGGGGATTTCCTCCCCCTAACCCGTCGTCGGGTGTTATGAGGAGCGGGGTCAGGGATGGAGGTTATAAACATGGATCAGGGACCAGGAGTGTATTCCCTGCCCATTCCCCCTTTTCCATCCCTACGAATAACCCTAAGGGTGCGTTTGGTTTGCAGGAATGTTTCTGAGGGATTTGGATTCCCAGGAGGGATTTGGATTGGATTGGATTTAAAATCCATTCCTGTGTTTGGTTTGCAGGATTTGGATTGGATTTGAAATCCATTCCTGCGTTTGGTTTGTAGGATTTGGATTTGGATTGAGAACAGAAATTTTAGGTAAGCAATGCCAGCAAGATCATGGACAACTATTCATGGAGACAGAAACCCACAAACTAAATTGAGCTCAAGATCAACCAAAATGCAATATATATATATATCATTGAAAAATTTAACCTAACATGTCAAAATAGTTGTTGTTAGAACAGGGTATTCAAACACAAAACCACATGTCATGAATATTCAAACATATATACAATATATATATATATATATATATATATATATTCACACCCACACATAATGAAGTTGGTTAGGTCGGCAGCTTCGCGAAGAACTAAATCAAGAAAAGGCGACATGATTAGGGTTTAAAAGGGATTTACCTGCTGCGTGATGGGAGAAGGCGGCGAAGAGGAAGGGTTTAGCGGCGGCAGCTTCGCAAAGGGACGGGAGGCGACGACCACCATGGGAGACAGCAATAGAGACGGTGAGCGACGACCACGGTGGGAGACGGCGATGGAGACGGTGAGCGACGACCACCGTAGGAGACGACGACGGAGACGGTGAGCGACGACGGTGAGCATTGGAGGAGGCGATGGTAAGCTGGGAGAAGATGGAGACGATGAGCATTGGAGGAGGCGATGGTAAGCTGGGAGAAGATGGAGACGATGAGCATTGGAGGAGGCGATGGTAAGCTGGGAGAAGATGGAGACGGTAATAGGGGAAAAAAGAAATCTCACGGGAATGGATTTCAAAATCCCGTGTATTTTCAAAGGATTCTCAAATCCAGTGTTGGTGGGATTTTAAATGAATCCCAAGATTTTAAATCCTACCATTCCTACAAACCAAACGCAGGTTTGGATTGGATTTTAAATCCAAATCCCTCCAATTCCTGCAAACCAAACGCGCCCTAAGTCTGGATGAGAACAATTGGATTTCTGATATGAAAAAATTGAAGTCCGGAACTGTAAACTATGTGTTCAAACTAGGGGTGCTCATAGGTTGGGTTGAAGGTATTTTCACAACCTAACCCAATGTTTCCGGTTTGAAAAATCTCAACCTAACCCAACCTAACCTAAATTGCAACTCAACCCAACCCAAACCGTACAGGTTCCAACCCAAACCGTACAGGTTGGTTGGGTTAGTCAGGTTGGTCGGGTTGATGATTTAGTACATTAAAATATTCTTGTTACTTTGAATATATTGCATTCTCTGTTCTTAATTCCTTTTTCATCATCAATCTTTTATTATAGCTTATCCATACTCCTTATAAGTACGTGACCGTGTAATTGTATAGTGCATATATTAATAGACACTTAATAATCATATTAAATCCAAGAAATAAAACGATATCGGGTTGGGTTCAAATGACCGTAACCTGATTCCAATCCAATACCTACAATTTGAAAATTTTACAACTTAATTAGACATCAGATTGCTTCAGATTGGGTTATTTCACATTGCATTGGATTGGGTTGGTCGGGTTTTTGAGCTTCCCTAGTCCAAACTTAGGGTGTTTTGCTTTCAAACTTACGGTCTAGAAAATTGACCATGTCTGAAAACTCTGGACCATGGAGTCAGAGTTCGGGTACTTGGACTCAAACTTTTAAAGCCAGAGTTCGAGTATTTGGAATTAGACTTCGGTCCTAGAACTTTGATTCTATTCTAAATGCTCTTCAACCTTACCCATTAACAGTCGTAACCACTTGTAACTGTCGTCTCTCATATAAACATGAAAAACGAGAATCTGGTATATGTGTACATCTCGATTTCCCAGCCTTTGTCAGAAAGATTTTTCTACCGCATAATCCCAGTACTAAATTCATGAACCCAAGGCTATAAGGGACAAGTTATTGTATTCAGAAAGTGTGCTCTACACGATCCTAAGAGTTTATCCAGTCCTATAATTATCTCCAAATCTCAATTTCTAACATCTAGAGCTAAGTAATGAAAAAGTTGGATAATTGTGATCTTTGTGCTAAATAAAATGTTGTACGGTTATTGCAGCGATCTTCTAGTAGGCTGAAGACGTTAATGCATGTCGAGTCTTTTGATTATGTTTTCCATGCTTAACGACTTTTGGTTTACTCCTTTGTTGTGACCCTTTGAACTTTCGTACATGGACATTGGTTGCTTCTTTCGGGACCTTCCTCTTCTGTATAGATAGAGATTATATCTAAGCATTTAAGACAATTTTGAATATCTTGTGTACGGTTCCATCCGAATTTGGTAGTAAAGGTGTTGAGAGCTTTTAGGTATTTGTTGGTTTACACTTACTTCATGCTATTCCAGTTAATTGTCTTTTTATCTGTCTGACAATCTGAACTTTCCTTGCAAATGCGATGACTCCGAGCTATCTGCAAAGCAGGTGGTCGCCCTGAATTAGTCGGCTCGCATAGAAGGTTGGATATCCATGTTAATAAAAAAAATGTGGTACATGTGAAGATTTTGTAATTTCTATATTGGAGGTTTGAAACATATAATGATAAATTCGTTAAAGATGGAACACAATTTGATGTTTTAGGCAATAAGTATAGATGCATCGAATAATAGTGGGTACAGCATCAAAACATCGTTATAAAGCATGATGCGATGGTATTAAACCCTCCGTTTTGCGGCTGCAAAGCCCAACAAAAACTAAAGTTGCAATGGATACTAAATCAACCGCTGTCGGTTTGATCTAATCTTACATCAGAATGGGAGTTCGGGACCATCAATCAGACATAAGAAAAAGATTTAATATAAACCCTACCATGATACATTTTGATTACCAGATGACCAACTGTTGAAATATGTCCCTAACCCCCCTACCTACCCTACATTCAACCATTAAAATGCCAAACAAAAGCAGGATGTACCAATTGAAACTACCATCTGAGTTCAGACACTGCACAAAAATCACCAACATCCTTCCCTGATTCAGTCCTCACCACCTCCCTTTTCCTGCAAAAAATCAACCATAAAAGATACAGTGTAACTGTCAAAAATGATTATAATCTGTTTTTAATTGCATCAAGTCCACTTGATATTTGATAAAGATTCAACTTACTGCAAATATCTCTACAAATAGAAATGACAACAAAGCCATACCAAACAAATCCAGTAAATCACCCTGAGATAGGATCGGGCGTATGATGTACACACACCAGGGGTTGTTTCCGCAAAGACACAGGAACAAAAGTGCAAGATACAGGTGAGGGTGTGTACACTCAAACAACAGGTATATTAAAGAGATAAGGCAGTAGGGACAATGTGAGGAAAATAGGTTACAACATTATCATATGCTCACTTACTTGGTAAGAGTCTTGGTCAGCAGGGAGAGTATATTATACATCATCGGGGCTAATTATGAGCTTACCCAGTAAGAACCATTAAGCATGTAGTAGACGGCCCCAAGTGTTATTTAAGATTATTCGAACTTTTATTACAGTATTTTAAAGCATTTACTTTTCTAAATGGCTAGTTTGATTGTTCCATTTACACAGTTGATCAGACATCCCCCCCCCCCCCTTCCTCTGGTTAAGAGTATATGAATCCACACAAGTTTTGGATATGTTTGGTTCAGCAATTAGTTTTTTGCAAAACAGGAAAAAGAACTAATTGTTGAATCAAACAAGTAGTTGCTAATCAAAGAGATAGTGGACTTCTAATTTATAGAAGGCCGATTAAGTAGCCTAAATAATTGAAACACCAACGAAATAAATGAAAACTGAAGTGGCTTAAAAAAGGGATTGTTTCTTTTTTCAAACAAATAAATGAAATGTTGAAGTCAAGAATAAAAATTGTTTTTTGCTGGGTTTGAAAGTTCAGTTTCGTTACGTTCAAATGGTTAAGACAGTTCTTTTGTAAATCATAAAACCATCAAAATCAAACTGCCATTTACATAGTTTTGCAAACCGATTTTGGTTTTTTAAAACGTAAAAATTTATAGAACACTATTCTCTATGTAGTTTTCACTTCTGTAAAAATGTAAATGCAAAAATAAAAGACAAGAGCATTGCCAAACAAAACCTTAGGGTCTATAGACTTAATGTGAACAGTGAAGAAAAGGATAATACAACCTCCCTAGATGAATGAATCTTTTCCCCTTTTGTCTGAAAAAGTGAAGTAACACCAAGCTCCAAAAAATGTGAACATGAAAGGGTTTGTCTAATCCATGAATCAGATCATGAAGAAAAGGATTCAAGACAAATTACACAATGCAAGTCTTAACCAAGTCCACCTAATAAACAATAAAGTTCAGAAGTATATAACCTTTTGGATATGATGTTGTGTAGTATAGTCATAGCTTGTGTCATGTATAATCACTCATTCTCTTGTATACATAATCTCATTTAGATTCTTTGACACCAACATTAATGGCAACTGGCAAGTAACAGTTCCAAGAAATCAATGTTTGGATGTTTGTAGCATACCTCCACCCCCCAAAAAACAAACACTTCTCATTTTGGGGCTGTCACAACAAATGCAACACTTTTTAGTAGGATTTTGATGCAAATTCACCTATTTGCCCATTGTATTACTGATCACAACATATTTGTGTAAATGATTTGATCTAAAAAAACAAACAAATCCGGTATATGCCATGCAGAGTGATTTTGAAACAGTAAAAGAAATATGCTGTTTAATCCTTATCCTTGGATGGAGGGAGTGAATGGGGTCGCCTACAACTTTTCTTAATTTTGTAAAACCTAACAAAATCATACGAGCCCGGTATATCCCACCCGAATGTGGGGTCTAAGAGGGTAAGATGTATGCAGATCTGACCTTTATGTCAAAGAGTAGAGTGACTAATTCCACAAAGACCCCTGGCTTGTAAAAGTTTGTGAAATAGAGAAAAGCAAGTATTCTAAAAAAAGAAAAGCTTAAACAACTAAAATTTACAAGAGTTGCATTAAGCAAATGCAATATGAAAAGAGACGAGTACAAAAAACAATGCAAAACTTAACTACCGACTCACTAACCCTAACCCTCTACCTCTCCGATCAGTGGCGGATCCAGGATTTTTGTTCAGTGGGGTCACCTTTAAGGTAGACTAAAGACCCGCAAAATCGTCCGATTTGTTTTTAACCAAATTACAACGTTTTCGAGGGAATTTTAAAGTTTTTTGGTTGATTTCGAGGGATTTTTTTTAGTATTTTTGTCGATTTCGAATAACTTTTTTGGTTTTTTTGATTGATTTCAACAAAAAAAATTGTTAGAGCAATGTTTCGATTGGGGTTGGGGGCCCGTGGAAAAATGTAATGGGGGGAAGTGAAAGGTAAGTCATGTAAAACCTAAATTTTAACCTATGAATTTTTGTTTTTGAGTTTTTGACTAGGGTCCCTTCCCCCCTCCTTTTTGCCATTGCATCCGCCCCTGTCTCCGGTTCCCTTCCTCCCACCTAGATCTCAACAGCTAGTCTACTACCCGAGTTTTGCGTCTCTACGTACTCCTATTTTAGGTATTTAATTATTGGTTAAATACTCTCATTAAACTACAAGTTAAGTCAAACATTGCATTTTTTAAACGGAGGGGGTCTTTTTTAGAGAACAATCTTTCTCCAATGAAGAGGACATGATGTGGAAGACAAGGGTAATGATGGCACCTTCATAGAAGAAATATTAGAGAATCCCATGTTACTTCTTCTGACCCATGAAAATTGGAACTCTTTACTTTTTAAGGTGTCTTATGAACTTGCAACTCTTGCTTTCTTAGAAATTGCCTATTTGCACATTTTCTTCATTACAAATAAAGTGGTGGTATGTGTTTTGAATCCACACGATCGTTTATTTGTCTTTAAACAAAGAGTGTTTTTTTTAATTATGTCCATGTGTTGAGTCAACATTGCAATTTTCATAGGACAGTTGATAATCAGAGACATGTTACATGATTACAGTAGAAATGATAGGGCAATGAGAATTCTAGCATTTGGGATTAGCAAGTCTTTTGGGTATTCAACGATCGGCATTTAGTAATCTCTTATAGTCTTATTCAGTTGTTTCCTTCTATTAGCTTTAAATCCCTACCATGTTCCAAGATCTTATTTGTCCAACATAATGCTTCATCCATGGTCAATATGAGAGCATACAGAACTAACATATATATGAACCATAAACAATAACCCATTACTTTTTAGTGATTCAAAATTGCTAAAATCGATTAATCCAATGTGATAGTAATAGATTGGTTCAAAGTTCAAACCTTTGGTCCATCAGTATCAGGTGAAACACTTTCCATAATAGTAGTATCAGGTGAAACACTTTCCATAATAGTGTCCTTCTCTCGAACTTCATCCTGAGACTTCTGATTCTCTTCAGGCTCGGCAGATAATTCTTGTTCATCCAGTGGCTTCTGATTCTCTTCAGGCTCAGCAGATAATCTCTGTTCACCCGGCGACTTTAGAGTCTCTTCAGGCTCGGCAGAAAATTCCTGTTCAACCCCATGCTTTAGATTCTCTTCAGGCTCGACAGAAAATACCTGTTCATCCTGAGGCTTTAGATTCTCTTCAGGCTTGGCAGATGACTCATGTTCATCCCGAGGCTTTAGATTCTCTTCAGGCTTGGCAGATAACTCATGTTCATCCCAAGGCTTCCGAGTCTCTTTGCGTTGTGTAGACATTTCCTTGAGCTTTTTCACTTCATTCTCAATAGAAACCAATTTATCAACCATCGCCGAAACTTTTTCATGATGCATTCCCAACTTATAAACAAATTCTTCTTCAAGAGTCTTTGCCAGCATAAGAAACCTCGCCCTATCTTCTTCTTGCTTTATGCGTTGTTTCTCTAATTCTCTAGTACTCAAAACGAGACCACCAGGGCCAGCGTCCTTGTAAAGTGGCTCTTCGTGAAGGGCATGACGTTTTCTGTACTCAGAAAATTTAAATCGAGTATCATTCAACGCCTTTCTGTATCCTGCTAAAAGATCCCCCATCAGATAAAGCTCGCGCTCAAGCCGAAACACTTCAGCATGCTTTTTCTCTATTTCTTCATCCTTTGACTTCATATAGATTTCCATCATATTAAGACGCTCCTGCAGCTGATTCATTGCTAATTGCTGATTATAGTGTGAGTTTTCGTAACTTTGTTCTTTTGACTCGTAAAGGATCTTAGCTTTTTCCATCCATTGTTGCATTTGCTCCATGCAAAAACCGAAATCATTCTGTTTCTGATCCCACATTTCATCAGTCTTTAACCTTTTATTGTTGCCATCAAGATGGTGTATGTCTTCTTCAGGCTCCATCACCCTCTTACCACCATTACCAAAGAAAGAAGGACCTCCATGAGCCATAAAGGAACCATCTCTGGATCCAAATAGATCCATGGAAGACATCCCACGAAGCTCGGCCTGAGAACCAAAAGGAATATGAGATGTTTCAACTCCTTGAAGAAAATTATCGGTCAACCCATCCCTGTCCAATGAGTCATCATTCGCTTCCATGTCAAATCCATCCTCTGCCCTTTCACCAGCTTCTTCTTCTTCTTCATCTTCATCCTCCACTTGTTCAATTTGTTCATCTTCAACATCCTCGGGCTTTCTTTCCTCATAACCATTCAAATCACTACTTTGACAACGCTGCAAAAAATGCTCACCCAAATCGTTCTTCTCATCCAAAAGCCAGTTCCCCTGTTCCTCCATTTCCTCCTCCTTGCATTCTTCAGCATCTATCATTAGCTCATCATCCTTCGTAACATTTCCATGCACTATTTCCTCCACATCTGGCCCTAAAGTCAACTCAATATTGTGCTCTTGAACTACAGAAACTTTCTCTTCTTTCTCTCCTGTTTCTTCATTCTCTTCTTTTTCTTCTTTCTCTTCCTTTTCTTCTTTCTCTTCCGCTTTCACATTTTCCTCACCATCATCAGCAACCACATCATCGGCTACACCATCACCATCATCATCATCCTTGACTTCTTCCACCTCCATCTCCGGCTCGAAAATTTCAACACGCTGTGATCTTATCAAGTATTGCAAATGTGATGCATAGTAACAATTGACAAGCTTATCTCTTTGATTCAACTCCTTCTCCACCATATTCCATATCAAACTAGCAGAATCCATTTTCTCAGGATGACCATCTTTAATACACCTAGTCCAATTCACTATCTCTGTCGGCATAACCCATGAATCATCATGTAAAAGCATCCAATTTGAAACGAAATCCTCAATGAACCCAATTGCCTCATCTGAAAACACCTCTGAATCCAAATCCACCTCCTCCACATTACTGCTTCCCTTCTCTTGCTTTGTGGCAGGCAGCTTTAAAGCCCTAGCCAAATCAGCCCTATTCACATTGATCCTAAAATCATTCACGTAACTACAGCGCTTCTTTGGATCATAATTCACAATCAACTGAGCAACAAGATCTGTTCTAATGCTACGGTCAAACTCGATTTTGCTAAAATCCAATAACCCCAATCGCTTTAAAACCTCCTTATGTTTTTCGAAAGCTAGTGCTTTTGTGGGTATAAAAGAGATGGGGCTTAGGATGTCGATTAGGTTTTGAACTTTCTTCAGCGAATTCTTACGTTTATAGAGGTTACGGCTGGTGGCTTTCTTGCGCTTGTTGGGGCGGCGCTGGGGGTTGATTGGTGAGGTGAGTGGTGGTGCTGGTGGTGGAGATGGGTTGGTGGTGTCGTCGGTAAGTATGATTGGTTCGGGAAGAGTAGCATGTGTCGTACCTGATTGATGATCAATTTTTTGTTCCAATTGTTGATCGTCTCCATCAAGAACAAAGAAGGTGTCTTCGTCTGGCTGTTGAAGATTCTGAGCTCCTTGATCATCGACGGCAGATTGTAGTGGGTTCGGAGGATCTAGGGTTTCTAGGGTTTCAGAATGTGGTGGTTGTTGCTGTGGTGATGATTCAGCTTCTTGGGGTTCAGTGGGGTTTGGATCTTTGTTCAGAAAGCCGTCGGCATCGTCATGCTGTTGGTGTTGAGAATGGGAAGGACTATCAATACCAGCCATGGCGACAACTGCTGGCTATGGTTTTCGTTCTCCTCTGCTTGAGGAACTGGAACTTTAGAATTATTTGTGGGTCCTATCATTTGCAAGTTATATAATTTTGAATAAATTACATTAATCGTCCCTATGCTTTTATGTATTGTCATTTCTCGCCAAAATTACTTGAGTATCTTAAAATATTGGTTTGCTTGTAAATGGTACATGAAATTAAGGTAGCATGTAGTATGCATAAATGATTAGATAAGACCGGATAGGTTAAGGGGGTAGGCTGAACTGGACAAGTTGTTCGTCTGGTGTTTGGTACGATTGGAGCAGGACATGATTAGGTAAGTTACCTCTAAAAAAATTGTTCGATGATTTTATATATCATATAATAGTTATTAATGACACAAAACAAGTAAAATTTAAATAATTTAATTTGTAAACATTTTATACAATTTTCATATATATATATAAATATATACATATATAATAAAACCAATTTTGAATGAGTAATTGATATAATTGAATTATTGGTGGCAATGACAGTGGAAGTTGTAGCAGCGACAATGATGGAGGTGGCGAGGTTGAAGGAGGTGGTAGTGGTTGAGGTAGAGGCGGTGGTGATCGATATGGTGGTTATCGATGGTAGTGGAAGTTGAGATGGTGATGGAGGTAGATCTAGAGGTGATGGTTGTGATGAGGGTAAGCAATGGTGGCTGGTAGCCAATAGTGATTGTGGAGAACATGAAAATGGTGGACAATGGTGGTGGTGGAGGCTGACAATGATGGAAGAGGTTGTTGTGACCAATGTGGTGGTAGGTAGTTGTAATGGTGATCGTTATGGGGAAGGTGGTTGATGGTGGTAGCGGTGGTGGCAACCGATAGTGGTGGATATGGAGGTCGAGGTGGTGGTGGTTGGTGGTAGTGGTAACCGGTAGTGTTAGAGGTGGTTGGTGGCGGCCGCCTTAGGGGTGGTAGTGGCAGCAATAGGCGGTGATGACCATTAAACCAAATACCATATTAGGGTCATTGTCAAATGAGGGAAAATTAATATTTTTTTTAGTTATATCACATTCTTGTTCCACCTAGTCCCACCTTGTTTCTGTCCTAGTCCATGTCCCATGTCGTGCCAAACGTGGGCACCAGCCAGCCAGTGTGGTGGCGAACACGCTGTGCTGTATAATTTTTGTATGTCCCATGTCGCATTCAATGTGGAACAGTAAGTTATGTTTAGTCATGTCATGTGATGTCCAGTTCCATGTACCAAATGCAGCCTAGGGATGTCATTCGTTAACTAAAGGACATTTTGGTATTTCTATTATTTTCTGTAATTTTCTATTGAAACATTAAGTCATTCTATTTTTCTTTTAAATAAATATATATGTTTTTAAAGCCTGTATGCAAGTGGTCTCGTTAAAAACAAAAAGGAGATCCTAAAACCATCTCATGTGATAACCTCTCTCCTGGTGTCTTTTTAGGTGAACCTTAACTACCTCTTCTCAAGATATACACACAGTGATACACACCGAACATATACGCATCCTCCATTTTTTATAAGCCTTTGCTTCAGGAACATAAATCAAAGGGAGAATATGACACTGGATTTAATTTAAAACAACTGGACAAACGTTGGAATAACCCAAATGGCGAGGTTGTTTATGTTATTGTGTAACACTCGTTTTTTTAATTAAAAATATTTTGGAATTTCTATCAGTATCGTCGAATTCGATGATGATCTTGGAAAATAATATTCGGTTGCAAATATTTAGCCTTGTTGTTGTCCCTGGGTTGTGGGGGCATTAAATCGGGTGAATTTGGGAGTTTCAGGAGGTTTGGGCGACTTCCTGAGTTGCCTAAGTGGGAAAAGTCACCAAGCCACTGGAACGTGGCACGGGTCGACCAATTCTTTGGATTTGGAAATAGTGGTCATGATGACCTTTGGAGTAGCCTAAGCCGCATGAAAATACACACGGATGCAGGCCAGAAACGTGCACGTGTAGGGCCACTTTGAGTTGGGCTTGAGTTGGGCTACATAAGAGACGCCCCTTGAGTGAAAAATTTTACTTAGTGTTTTAGTAATGTCCTTATAAGAGAACCTATGATTTAGTGGGAGTTTTGGTTTGAAATTTTAGAATTATACTTCTTAGGAATATATGAGAGGATTTGAGAAAATTTCACGTCAAATAGATACATAAAACTGATTTTTTGGGAGATCTTTTCTGAAATATTTTATTGGATGTTATATATTATCTCTTTATGAACGTGTAGGCGAAAACCTCATAGAAAACGAAGGTCCGAGCGAAAAGTTATGAATATTTTAAGTTTTGATAGTCAAAATGGGTACCTAGC